GGGTGGAATTTTTGTTTCAACCATCTGGCAACCCTGCATAGAAAATGTCTCTTAAAAAGCCAATGAAACGTGATAGACTGTTCTGTGAAAATGGCCTTTAATTTAGAGGTGGTTGAAGATGCCTTCTTGTATTGTAAATCCCTCAATTCCAGTTAGTATGGGCACTCATCTTGCTAACTTCCCTTTCATTTGATAAACCTCATACATCTGCCTCAAACTTTCTCTGGCATAAGGCTATGCATCACCGAATTTCAGACCAGTACCTGTTTTAGTTTTGAGAAAATATCGAATGGTGATAAAATTAGATTAATAGGGTTAGAATGGAAACTGTGGTTCCATTACAAGTGCTGTTTTGATCTTTGGTTAATCACAACAAGCAGCATAAGGCTTATAATAATACTGGGGAAATACTCCCCCCCCCCCCATTGAAATAATTTAATTGCAATCCACATGTTCAAAACTCGTGTAGGATGACCTCACAAGATGTATATCTTTCAACTGCCTTATCAATGCAGAAAGCTTTATGAGTATTGTTCTACTTTGTTGTGCTTCGGAATTTCTGATAGTTCTTGTTTTTGTTTTTAAGGGTTATTTTGGAGCTGTTGGGGCCCTTCTGGAATTGCTTAAAATGACAGAAGATCAGTGAGGACACCAGCTAGAAAGAGATACCTGTCACAGATGCTGCTGGTTAGAATGAAAGCCACTAGAAGGATGGAAATGAAGCCATTATGGCAGTTCTACCTGCTGGATTTGTAAATAATATAAAATCCTTTTAGCTGATATCTAACTTTTGGGTTTTGAGCTTATACTTCAAAATTCATACTGGGAATAAAAAAGCTTTTTTTCTGTATACTGTATTTTTTAGGAACAAAATCTGTGCAACGTGGCCAAACATGCAGATTTTATGGATTGATTTTAAAATGTGCATACTGTTTAAAGAAGGACCCATACTATGAGACACCTGCATTTCTTCTGGGGTTTACTGATTAGTTGTGGTAATTTTAACTTCATCTAGTAATCACTCTAGGAGATTTTTATCTTATATTTTTCATGACGTTTCATGATTTGCTCTTGGTTTCAAATGAAACTACAAAGCTGGCACATTTTACTGTGAACACTAAACTAATTAATTTTATTGCCTTCACTTTTTTTTATTTAAAAAGATCGTCTTCCCTATTCTCCCTCCTGTAAAAATATGACCTTTCTATGGTTACCTGTGTTTCTATTAACAAGAAGCACTAAAAGGCCTGCTGAGATGGGGATAAGATTTGTGTAGTCACTGGCACCTTCTGAAGTCCTGAATGAAAATAACTGCTTAGTGTTGTATCAAAGCCCCTTGCATTTTGGCTCTTCCATTCTGAAATTTTTTATTATTGAGTCAAAACTAAAACAAAATCTTGTTATGGTAAAAGTCATCTATGAAAAAAGCTCTATGGTACAGATGTTATTTATACAGTTACTAAGTATTAGAAAATAACAAGGGAGAATAATTTCAGTATGTCCGCGGACTTTACTGTTGTCATTACGTTAACTTTTTAAAATGTTGTCTTCATCAAAGCAATTTGGTGGCTTAACTAATATTTAAATCCCACTTTCTAAAATTAGAATACATTCTTAATGCATTATATATTGGATTAGGAATTAAAGTAAAATTTTGCCTCCAGAACTTAGTAAAGTCTGAGTATTTTTTCCTAAATAATTCTGTCTTCTAAATCTGTAATTGAAAGACATCTTTTTTGATATGTCATATGATGTACAGGGTCCCTCAGAGAGGCCGTACAATTTTAGGGGGCACGTGTTCTCTGTGATGCATTTTGGTTTTGGATTTTTGTTTCTGAACACTTTAATTTCCATCTCTCAAACCTTGAATAACTTGATACTAACTGAAGTATTGACTTGTCTGCTGGAAATAAAGCCCTTTACTGTGTGATGGGTTTAATGTATTTGTGGAATTCATTTCTTTAAATCAATCTACGTAAAAGGAGTATTATTAGAAGTATTAATTTGGTTATATCTTCCTGTTGTTTTTACAATCTCTTCCTGGTACTTATTTTCCTGTTTGTCACTTCGGTCTTTGCTATTGTGATTAATCTATTATTTGAAACTTTGTTGAATTGCTTATGTGACAAGTTTATAGTTTTGCCATTTTGACTTACATTAAGAGCTTGTCTTCTCTATCGGGGAGAGATCGACACTGCTGCAACCAGTGCAGTGGGTGTCAATTTTAGCGAGTCTAGTGAAGACATGCTAAATCAATGGCACAGCACTTTCCAATCGACCCCCGTACTCCAGCCCTCTGAGAAGAATAAGATAAGCCAACGGGAGAGCAGTAAGATACCTAAGACCTGAAACTTAAATTATGTTGACTCCAGCTATGTTATTCATGTAGCTTTTTAGAGCATGTCTACATTACAAAATTATAACTTGACTTTTAGCATCCAATTTAACAAATACGATTTTGTGTGTCACAGTAGGTGGCTGTGGTCTACCGAGTACATCCACAGGAATTGCCAGGGGTTACATTGACTCCAGGGGTGATGCATTTTGGGTAGCTATCCCACAGCCCTTGCAGATTGGAATTCTGGGCTAGGGTCCCAATCCCTCATGGAATAAAAACAGTGTTTTAAGTGCTTCCCATGTCTGTGGCTCAGAACCAGCCTTGTCCTGGCTTGTCTAAGCTCCTTTATTTTCATGCAGCATTGCTGGGTGTCCTTGGTGTAAACAACTCGTATCTACCATGCCATATGCAATTTTGGCATAGATATCAGTGTTTCTTTTGCTGGTTTAGAGCTCTTCCTGCAGAGTCTCTCCCCAACAGGAATCAGATCCACTTTCTCCTGAATGCTCAGGCTGGAGACTTGTGACACAGGCGTGCATGCTCAGCTTTGCTGGTGAGCTTTCCATGTTGCTCCAATAGGAAATGAACATTCAAAAGTTCCTGGGGCTTTTCATGCTCTGCTGGCTGAAGAGTGCTAGAGTTCAAAGTGCTCACCAGAGCATTCACAACAGAGCACTCTTATAATGCACAGTGTGTACACTGCCCTTAATTTGAGGCATGAATGTTGCCTCAGGCTTTATTCCATTCACGTGGAGTTCAAGGTTCAATTTTTTTTTTAAAGGGTAGTGTAAATAACTCATTATAAATTTGGCCTAAAGCTGAATACATTGACCTAAGTTTGTAGTATAAATCAGCCCAAAGTTGTTGAGGAAAATTGCAGAATCTTAGCTGTTGTGGGTATGTCTACACTTCAAGAGCTACTATAACACAGCTGCAGCTTTCATTCAGCACTGTAGTATAGACACTTATACATCAATGGAAGGTGTTTTTCCATCACTGTAGCAATTCCACCCCCTAAAGAATTCCATTGACCAAGCTGTGTCTATAGGTGGGTTAGATTGACCTAACTACATTGCTCAGTATGTGGAATTTTTCATAGCCCTCAGCAACGTAGCTTCATTGATTAGGTCTTTAGATTGGCTATTGCAAACATTGCATGCTTCCTGAGTTTTAAAAGGGAAGCAATTCGAATGGACATATAAGTTTACTTAACATGTTGCAGTGCAAAGAATGTTCATAGGATAAATTGGCACATGCAAAATCACACGTGCAGTTCTTTTGGTATTTCAACAAATATCAGAAAATGTTGGGAGCTGTGGACATGTAAGCTGTGCTCAGGAGGGTACAATTGGTACAATTACTTCTTTCTGAGTCACTTTTGCCTTAAAGGATGGAGCCAACACAATGTGCTTGGACTTCTAACCTTCTATGGAGAAACCAGACAAGGAGAAGAAATGAGGAGAGAACTCAGAGTTCAGGTGAGCAACCAGTCCCCAACATGTCATCCAAACTGTTGGTTCAATTTGGTAGCAGCATCCAGCAGTAAAATAGACTCTTCTAGCTGGGGAAAGTGAGATCACTTCTCCGGATCTGGAACATTCACTCACTGTCCTATGAATTCTCCAGATGATTTAAGTGCTATCCAGCTGCTCCTGTTCTTCTACATCCAACTTTCTCTGGCCATCCTGTATCCTGTGCACTCTTCTTGCATAGAACCTGTTGGTTGAGCTACATTTCTTTCTGGGTTCCTGCATATCTTAAACTGGTGAGCAGAAGGAACAGGTTTGTAGGAACAAGGGGTTTGTAGCTATTACTTAAATTCTGTGGGGACGAGGACCAAAGAGGTATTTCTAGGCTTGCTGATGCATATAATACTATAGCCCGTTAGAATTAATATTGACCTTGACTTTAATGTGTCAGAAATCACTTGTCAGCTATTTTTAATTAGCTCTGTTTAATTAGCTCAGTAATTTATCAGCACTTATAAATGACATGCAGCATTCTAGTGTATTTTAGTTGTCTTCCTTCTCAATATTGTCATACAGAAACATTGCAAACTGTATCTTTCAACATAGAACAGACTAAGTCGGCTACCCTCTGAAGCTTCTGAGCTCAAATATGTTAGGACTTTGCAATTGCTATAGTAAACAGTAGAGAGATGCATGCTATTAGCAATGCAAATTCTCATAGTCTCTGGCTGTGCTTTGCTTACCAAAGGCATTACACGTTTTGTTTAGATTGTTACAGACAAAAACCTGATCTGTCCTCTTTTCTCTGCCTTTTCCTACTGGGTGACTGTCACATGAGACCATCAATAACTTTGCTTAATGTGAACTTTACTTACTATATTGTATTTTCATGTTTCTCATAATTGGGTGCAAGTAGAATACAAATTTTAAAAAAATGTAAATTTGAAAATGTATAAAAAAGGAAAAATAACTGCCTGGTTCACAAATAAAACAAGGAAAGAGAATGCATGCTTCAATAGACCATGCAACATGCCAGGAAAGTCAACAAATTCAGGTTGTGTTAGTGCAAGAAGGGAAGCAAACTTCAGAGCTGGAGATCCTCTCTGAAAATAGCCCAATCCCAGACATTATATAGAATCTGTCTTCTAGGTGTAGGTTTTTCTGCTGGTATCAACTGTTTGGCTACATCTAGACTGCAAGCTTCTTTCAGAATAAGCTTTTCTGGAAGAGATCTTCTGGAAAAGTTTATTTCGAAATAGCACATCTACACACAAAGCACAGTGAAATAGCGATGTGCTATTTCGAAAAAGAGTGTCCAATCAACATGGATGCTATCTCGCATTTAAGGCCACCCGGAACCAATCCAGGCAGGGCATTAGGCCAGTTGCTTCTGGGTGCTGTTGCCTAAGGCTATCTGCAGCACGTGCTTAAAGGGATCCCACCTGGACAGTCATTTCTCAGCTTCTGCTGCTTGCTTGCCTACCTCTCCCAAGTACAGCAAAGCATTTGCAGTGCGTGCTCTGGTTGCCCAGCTTTTGGACACCAGAGCACATCCCAAGCCATGGAGTCAGAGCTGCCTCTGAGAATGCAATGGCCCCACACTGCCATGCTGCAGTTTCCACAGCACTTTGTGCAGGCTGCCTTCATGGCCCTGCAGGAGCTCGACTCAAAACTCATCATTGAGCTCCTCTGCCTGTGTGCGGGAGCAATGCCCTTGCAACTGCACCACATGGTAAACAGAAGTTTCTGGAGGCTGGACACCAGTTCCGACTAGTGGGACTGGCTGGTGATGGAGCGGTCGGACGACAAGCAGTGGTGCCACAACTTCCAAATGAGGAAGGCAACCTTCATGGAGTTGTGTGCCTGGCTCGCCCCTGCCCTCCAGTGATGGGACACCTGGACGTGACCTGCCATGCCCCTGGAGAAGTGGGTTGCCGTCGCCGTCTAGAAACTCGCCACTTCAGACAGTTACCAGGCTGTGGGCAACCAGTTTGGCATGGGAAAGTCCACCATTGGGGCACTCCATGGAGGTAAGGCCCTCTCAGGCTGCAGTCCCTGAAGGGGGTGGGAGTACTGGAAAGGGGAACCCTGGGAAAAGAGGGAGGTTGAAGGTTGCAGGGGGTTGGCTCGCAGTGGGGGGGAAGCCTCGTCCCCTGGGGGTTCTGCAGTCCTGTCCACCCACAGGCCTGTGGGGGGGGGGGGGGGGGGGGGGAAAGGGTATGGCTCCTGGGATGTTTTTGCGGGGTGGAAGGAGGGAACTCAGGGACCTCCCAAGGGCTCAGGCACCCCCTTTGATTCTCTGTTTTGTGTCTGTCTCCTGCAGGTGGTGAGGGCCATAAACTCAGTCCTCCTCTGCAGGGTCATCCGCCTGGGAGACCTGGACCCCATCGTGGCCAGATTTGCTGCTCTGGGCTTCCCCAACTGCAGGAGGCCCATAGATGGAACCCACATCTCCATCCAGGCCCCAGAACATCGAGCCACCCAGTACATCAACAGGAAGGGATATTTCTCGATGGTCCTGCAGGCTGGCCTTGGTCGACTACCGTGGCCAGTTCACAGACGTTTTCGTTGGGTAGCTGGGGAGGGCACACGACACCTGTGCATTCCGATACTCCAGCCTCTACCAGAAACTGGAGGCTGGCACATTCTTCTCCCAGTGTGACTTCAAGGTTGGGGATGTGGAGCTGCCACTGTGCATCAAAGGGGACACTTGTCTTATTCTGATTTTTAATGCCTTAACAAAGTATAATTAATCCTCTGGCCCACAGATTGCAATATTTCATGGGAAAATATTTAGCTATTGTGTTATTGTAGCCCTGTTGGTCCTTGGATTTTAGAGAAACAAAGGGCGGGCAACATAATATCTTTTATTGGACCAACTTCGGCTGGTGAGAGAATAGAAGTTGGTCCAATGAAAAATATTCTTGCCTACCTTTTCTCTCCAAAACATTTATGCGGTGTTCACTAGTAGGAGAGCATCACCAACAGATCTGGATCTCTTAAAAGAAACCCATGTATGTAATTTAAGTTTTCCCACCTATGCTCTAAAGTCATAATTCATAGGTAAAATGAACAACACGGGCAAGTCCTTAGTTTTACACCAGTATTTTGTTTCTTCTAATCCCACCCTCA